AAATAAATAAAAACCTTAAACATTTGTAGGCAAGCTTATGTTTAAACACAGTAGATTTGTCATCTCCGAATTGTCTCCTGGTCTTGTCTCTCATTTTCACAACCATGATGTAATGACATCATTGCCATTTTGCCTCTGGAACAGCCAAGAGGAAATTGCTCGTGGACGATTTCATGCCTGACCTGTTTGAAGAAGAACTGATTCACAAGATGCCACCAAAATTTAATTTAGGTGAACGGCTGACAACGAAGTAACACCTAACTAAATAAATAAATTAACGCGATTTATAACAAGAAGAAAAAAAAATCAGAATTTCCCAAGCTTTAAAATGATTGTCATAAGTGGTAGAGAAAATTCTGATTTAATAAATTCTGAATTATAATAATTCTTAATACTTTTATTCTCTTTTAATCTTATAAAAAATATAAAATTGTTTAAAGAGAAACTAAAAAGCGAAATTTAAACCAAATAAAATTTTGAAACCTAATAAAAAATACAAAAATAACTAGAGAATTAAAGAAAAATATGAAACATCATGATCCCAACCTTAATTAATAGAGAATTAAAGAAAAATATGAAACATCAAGTTTAATTTGAACATGATCCCAACCTTAATTAGTATCAGTGAGCTGACCTCGTAAGAAACCGATCTAGTAGAATGCACTAAAACCCGATTCAATTATCATATTAAAAGTTTTGATACACATCCTTATCATACTCCTATACTTAAAAAAAAATCATCTCTGAGTACACGATCAATAATTAAACTTTTTCATTAAAAAGAAATAGGTACTTTAAATATAACTTTTTTACTAATTTATACATGAGATAGCTTTAAATAACTTAAATCTAATTTTAACAAAGATAGATTCTTGTAGAATTTTCAAACCTCGACAATTTAACTATTGATGCTTAAGAAATCACACGAATCCTTACCTATTGCCTAAACTTCAAATTTGTTTTTACTTTTAATATATTCATTATTGTAAAAATCACAATTCTTCACTTTTATCCATTCAATTTCTTAAGTTTTCCCTTTATTTGCAGCAAAGCCTAAAAAACAAATAAGAAATAACATTATATTTTTTTTTTTGACATCTTGCTTCAACTTGAATCTCGGGTACTAAATTGACACTTCTAAATTTGGCTACGTCCACGGGCAAGTATAGAAGAATTTTACTAAGTAATGTGGGAATACAACTTCTCTCTAATAATAGGAGAACAACAAAAATCTCTCTATTATTAGGAGAAAACACCTCACTTACTATCTCACAAATACCTCACAATTTTGTGGGATTACTCTCTTCTCACCCTCTCTTCTTTCTCTCTTATGGTGTGTATATAATGCTTGGATGCATTGCCTATTTATAGGCAAGCATCCATGCAAAAGACAAGGGGTTAGGCAAATAGCACCAATTTGGTGCATACAATTTTTGACTAAGATGACTACACCTTCTCCCACCATTTTTAACTAAGGTGATTAGCTTCACATCAATTTCTTAAGTTTTCCCTTTATTTGCAGCAAAGCCTAAAAAACAAATAAGAAATAACATTATATTTTTTTTTTTGACATCTTGCTTCAACTTGAATCTCGGGTACTAAATTGACACTTCTAAATCCAGTGAACTCCTAAGAATTTGTATACATGTTCTCATTTGCTACTCCCAGTGCCTCAATATTTGTATGGAGAGGAACCCTAAAATAATCTTCAACCGTGTCTTTACATGATCTTTCAAAAATCACCATATCTTTTATGTTCTTGTTTGCAAGATTTATATCCGTGATAGAAGTAGCATAATGTTTTTCTATCTTATCTATCTTAATATCAAAAGAATGAAACTATTTTTTCAAAGGAAAATAGCTTATATGTAATGGGTTGAATCACTTGTTTTTTAAATATAATGAGAAAATTATTTAATTGAGTCAAATTTATCCGTGTAAAATGATTGTAAATGGGTGAATTTCTAATTTATATTTTTATTAACTTTTTTATCCAAATTAACCGAATCAATTATGTACAGTATTTAATAATATATATAAAAATAATAATGCTAATGAAGGAAGAGAGAGGTCTTTTGAGAGAGAGAGATGAGGGTTGAAGATGAAGGTTTTGAAGAAGAAAAGATGTTTAATCTTATATGATTTTCTTTTTCTATTTATCACATACTTTGTACAAGATTAACATATTTATAGAGCTCAAGACTATTTTTGATATAATGTTATGTTTATGCTTGATTTTGTTAATCTAGATAGAAAAGGTTAAAATAATGATAAATTAAAAATTTAATTATTTTATAAGGATAAAATTGACTCCATTAAAGATACAAGGATGGATTAAAAACTCACTCTATTATATAAGGATATATTGTGTCATTTTTCTTTATTTTTTTAAAATCCCTTAATTCTTTTCTTTAATTGGGAAGCATGATATACATTTCTTTTACTCATCTGATGCCCGCATCAATTGTAATCAAAGAAGGAGCTAGAAATTTACTTTGGAGTAGATGAATATATTAAAAACGAAAGAATTATTTAAATATACCAAAAAAATAAAATTTAAAGTTAAATACTAGAAATATTAACTAGAAATATGACTTTTTCTAAAGAGCTGCTCATCGTGAGAAAAAAATTGATAACTTTAAAATGAATAATGCATTTCCTTTTCTTATATAAGAACTATGCTCTTGATTTCTCGAAATAAAAAGTAATAATTTGTTTTATTAAATTTCAACTTCAAACAATCACTATATAAATGTGTCCATGATTAGATGTTGATTTATAATAGCAATCAATATGTGTATGTGTCGGGGGCTCCGAGAAATCTAATCTCATATTTTGATTGACTTTGATTGAGAGTGAAAAATAAAGATTGCCCTCGAACTACTATAATGTAACATAAAGTTATTTTGCATTAGGCAAATTTCATATAAGAATTTTCTCGTTTGTAACAACTATTTGTCTATTTTAGTAAAAGCAATGTATTCAATTTCTATAGTAGATAATTTAGCATATTTTTTGTAACTTTAATTGCCATGAAATTGCTTTTTTGAAAAGGTCATTAAGCATTCTGATAAGAACTTTCTATAATCAATATTACCAACCATATCTACATCGGTGTATCTATCTATCACTTACTTATTATTTCTAAAATATAAACTACAACTAGAAGTACATTTAAAATACCTAAATATCCATTTCACCATTGACCCATGTTTTTTTTTATCTGGATTAGAGAGGAATGAATTGACCACACTAATAATATAAGTTGTAACGATCCCATGTAAACAATGATATACATTAAGTTACAAACTGCAAATATATAATGAATCTTTTTTTATTTTATTTTTTTCTTCATCAAACTGCAAATATATAATGAATCTTTTTTTTTTTTTTTTCATAACTTGAAGGATATTGTTTTCCTTTCAACTATAACATGAAAATCCTTAATGATCATTAATAAAACTAATAAAGTATAAAATAATTCCAAGAGACTTACCGGTCATAGAACTAATATTAATATAAACTAAATCTAGAGCATATGATTTTCTGTATGAAAATAATCTTTGAAATACATCTATGTTGTTTAATAGCTAAATAAATAATAAGTGTAGGTATTAGAGTTATACCTTTTAAAGGAAGGTAGTAAGTAGGTGTTTTTTGTTTTTGCAATTCTACATAATATTTTTTTCTTTGATTTTTATTCTATTGTTTTTCTATGAATTTCTAATTTTATTGTCATTTAATTAAATAAATAATTAATTTTACAAAAAAAAGTTTCCAAATTCAATAGTATTCATTACCCATGTTGTTGATCAAAACTTCATATTTACCCTCAAGGCTAACCAAGTTTCAATTGACTAGTTTTACATAATATAACATGATAGAAAAATGCTGACTTTTTGGCTGGTGGTCTGGGTTTAATATGCAAGAGGAACATTTTTTTTTAATTGATAATGTTTTATAAAGCAACACGTGGTAGGCTATACCAATTTTGGTTTAATCCATTTGAATTAATGGGTTTTGATCGTTGATTTCAGGTTTGATTGAATCAATCATGCACAAACAGTCTTGACCAGTAACCTATACCAGATTAGACTTCGTTTAAGTGGTTTTTAAGCGACCACTTCTTCAATCTTATATTCTTAACAAACTATATAAATAATTAACATTATTGCTGCAATTTTTCTTTCTTTTTCATTCAATAAGCAGTTCTCCCCCGGCGAGTTAATGATTTTAGGTTTGACATATTGTATGAATATTCCTTTTATTTTAGTATTTTTTAAATATCTTTAAATCGTTAATTGTATATTTTTTAGCATCATCAATATGAAAAAAGAACTATGGTTAAAAGTAAAATAAATACACATTCCCAACTAGGAAATCTCTTTACAGAGACAACAACGGAAAATAGAACAGAGGAAACACACAGGACAAGAACGCGAGCAATTGAGTTTCCTTTCTATCTTTGAAGTGAACAGGTTCGCAACATGGAAGAAACAATGAAACATACAATTTTAATCACAGCGCATCGCGATATGTATCTCCAACCAGTCGTGAACGAAAACAGATCATTGCACTCATACAAAGAAGGAGAATTTCCCAATCTAAAACACAGGAAAACATGACTTTAAGAGCTAAGAAATATTCATATAAAAAATAAGCAGCCATTCATACGTTCAAGGAAAAACTCTAAGGCGATAAAATACCCTTTTTAAGCATATAGAAGAAAGAAATGATGCAATCTCCAACCAAACAAATGACAACGCATAGGACCTTGTGAAGAAAGAGCCATTATAGAGCTAGAATTCATTGCATGCATCCTGTTGATATGGTTTAAAAGATAAAAGTCAAAACAACCCAAAGCTGGAGTCAAAAAGGAAGGAGAAAAACAAAAGGGAAAAGGGTCAAGCGAGGGAAAAAGAAAAGGAAACCCAGGCCATCCCCAACATTGGAATAAAATGTACATGCTCATGAACAGGATATATAATAAAAGCAGCAACTACAGAAACCTATCCAAGCTTTCACTGATAACCACCACACACACACACAAAACAACAAAAGCAAAGTAGAAAAGCACACAGTATGCTGGTCTACTGTGATCTGATTTTTTGCAGACCTTGTATTTATCTCCCTCGCCAGCCTCTGGCGTTTAATGAAATATTTTATCTCTCAAAAAAAAGAAACAAAAAGAAAAACACACTATGATCCAAATTGTATGAAAAAAAGCAAATAAAATAGCATGGAGGTCGTGGACTGAATGCGCGAAAAAGGCCCAAAGTGACATCCTCGCCAATCAATTCAAAGGGTATGTTGGAGATGCCTCTAATATCTTAGTCGAAGCTCCATGTCTTTTGGGAGTGTACTTGTGTTAATATACAAACAGCTTTTTTTATTTTTATGTTAGTTGTTTGTTTTTATTTGTCCTTGTGCTAGCATGCTTCCACCTAGCTATGTTTTTCCACCATCAGCAAACCAATCTTCTCTTGCAATTCCACGACCACCACCAGAAATTGCATATCCACTAACTTAAACGTGTAAAATATAATGGCTGATAAATATCAGGATCGCTTGAACATGAATGAACTTGATGAGGAGCTTAGGAGCAGCAGCTTCTTCACGTAGGAAACCTAAGTGAAAAGAGATCGAGAAGTTCAAAACTATTTTTTGAAACCAAACTTCAATGGCTTAATGAAGCGGTTAAAAACCTTATGACATCCAAACTTTAAAGCTTTAATTTAAATGCAATTCTTGGGAGTAGAGCATTATAAAACTCAAACCAAATAATTTCAAAACATTAACAATTGCAAAACAGTGGAGCCACGATTTTTTATTAACACCGTAGCTGGGAAACTCAGATAAAAAAACCTATTTCATGCATGGAACATTAATGAGATCATGAAATAATTGCTTTGCATGGCATGCTACAATTGATAGGTAAAGAAGAATTAAACACATCCATGTGCCATACAGAAACTAACCTTCCTAGGCTTGATTACGACAACATCCTCTAACGAACAAATAACACCTTGCTAATAAGATAATTTGCCAGTTTTAATCAAATAATTATTTTGCTAAAGGGATGAGATGAGTTTCGATTACATGTTTCATACAGAGAAAATTAGAGTTAAATGACAATCAAAAACCATTTTCAATTAATTTCCATATATATATTACAACGTATTGAATCAATAAAAAACAAAGTTTTACTTGTTCAAAACTATTGGATTTTCTATGAGAAGGTTTATATCGCAACAAATAAATAGACAACGCCAACTATTCAATAATTGATATCATAAAATAGAAATAGAGTCGAAAGATTTCTGACCAACCAAAATAAAATCAGGCATAAACAATCAAACCACAACTTAAATCATATGAAGAAGGTAATATATAGAGATGGGACAAAAGACCGATGACAAGCAGAAAGCAACAGGCAACAACAATTGCTCGCCGCAAAGAATAGATCATGTTTTCATACCTACCAAGTGCTCAGTTCGTAAGTATCGCAGATAAAATAAAAATAAAACAGAACATTAACATTATAGAACATGGATCCTAAAGCTGCACACATATCACAATATAATCATTGAAAGGCTTATAATACATTAATCAACTATTGTTTGTGAACAAATAAATCTATTTCATTGTCTAAGTTAACAATTTTAGCTAGGGATTATCTTGCTACATTTCCTAATCATCTAACAACAATGGTTTAAGAAACAAAGAAGTTAAATGATCATGTCATTTATAACAACTATATAAATTCCATTTCGAAACAAAGAAAGTAAAGAAAACATATTTCAAAAATTAAAAGCACATCACCACTGCCACCCCTAACATCACTTGTCATTTGCAGCTAGCATGGCCTAATTTAATGGAAAACAACATCAATTAATGAAGTGGCATAGAAAAATCGATAAAAGGAGAAAGAAAATTAATACAATCCCTTCTCAGCGTCTAATATTTTCCTCAATGGCCAATATAAAAACTCAAGTTTCAACCCAATGATTTTTTTAAAAAAAAAAACACTCTAAGAGACGCTAACGGTTTTAGGAACCCTAACCCTATAACTCATAGTATCGGTGTGCTTTTCAGCGTCATTGAATCCATAAATCAACTTATTTTCCTAATAACTAATAATAATCACAAGAACATGAAATATGAACCTAGAAAGAACATCTAAAATAGAAGCTATCATATTTAGATATATTATAGAATGTATATATACGAAATATTATAAGCACTATTCTATAATAATGCCTATAATATTTTCTATACATACACATTCTATAATAAGATAGAACAAGTCTTTCCCAAAAAAAAATACAACCCAAAAACAGAAATGACGCATAAGACAAAGCATAAACAACATAAAAGCAAAGAATTAGCAATAGGAGTTCAAAAGAAAAAGATACCTCATTAAGATGCCGATTGATAGTGCATCGATAAAAAGCCTATAAAAAAAAGCAAGAGATGCTAAATGACAGGGAACAAAAACAAAAACCTCAAGAAAAAAAAAGGATGGGAAATGTAACCAGAATAATTTTCACAACCTAAGCACATTTCAAAGCAAGACAAAAGAACCTCACATACAATAAATAGCGGCAGAGAATCAACAAAGAAAGTGCAATGTAAGATCAAGTTCGGCTCTGAAAAAAATTATCCAAGCAGTAAGTATATGGAAAACGTAGAAACAACAAAAGACATCGAAGGAATACAAAGAATCAGCCTTGATGCTAAAAGATGACATGTTAAAAGCACAAAACAGTCTATGCAAGTGCTTTTTTGGGTCTTAGATGACTGTTTGATTTGAGCTGAATCAAGAAAAATGAGCATAAGTACATCCTTGTAAAGGATCGAGCACTATAAAGATTGAACCATGGGAAAAACATAACCCTTTCAAATCTCTTGACTTTGGGTCTTAGATGACTGTTTGATTTGAGCTGAATCAAGAAAAATGAGCATAAGTACATCCTAGTAAAGGATCGAGCACTATAAAGATTGAACCATGGGAAAAACATAGCCCTTTCAAATCTCTTGACATAACCCAAGCAAAGAAAAAAAAAAAAAAGTTGTCAGAGCACTTTTTAAAGAATGCAGACATTTATAAAAACGAGATCCTATGTGACAATCGTTGTGAAGTGTAAAGGGAAAACATACCACTCTCAAACTAGCAGTGTAAACTATATAGAAAGAAATGATCAGTTAAAAACATAGAAACTGCAAAATAAAAGATAAACGTAGCCGGAAACTAATGGAGAAACTTCAAATATCCATGAAAAAATTAGAGCGACAAGTCTCTTTTAAAAAATAATAGGTTTCGCCTCATAAAATGCCCTCATAAAATGCAACCAATACAGAACCGAACATCTATTACTACAAGAAATATATAACTTAGCTACCGCACCGAATCATGCAATTTTTTTTATTAATCTCAATATCATTCTTGTCACTTCCATTCTAAAACGCATAAGAAAAAGACAATCCATACCTCCTTATAGTCTTCCTCTCTCTCCGTTGCTGCAACGGAAGTTCCTCCTCCCCGTAGCTTTTGCTAGCTTCTCCTCATCTAATTCTTCAAATTCTTTTCATCTCAATCTTAACCATCTATATAAACAATTAACATCAATTAATCATCTTAACATCTTAATTCACCGCCTTTAGAAAAATAGATTAAAAACCCGTAGAAAAACTATTCTCCCTTTCTTTGTATTGTTCTCTTACAAACAAACAGACATTGTTTTTTGTTGGAATGCCTTCTCAAGAATATAAAAGAATAAAACCAGCCATCATAGTAGTAGCAACAAGCTATAACAATTCTTTGAACGACTCCTCCATCCTAAAATTTTAAAATACTTCCACATTGTAGCAATAAACACAGTAAGAGAACTGACACTTTATAGCTAGGAAAAACACATCAAATATACAAACCTTTTATAAATTTTGTTTAAAGTTGACAACTTTAACAATTTTTCTCACAAACTAGATTCAAGTTCTTAAAAACTCATAAAATTACTAAATGATTAAAACCAAGAAATAAAAAAAATCTCGTTACATAAATATAAGAGCATCGAGATAAACTTACTATGGTATATAGTCACAAAACTTCTTTTTTCAAAAATATCTCTGTGGAGTCCCAGTGTAACAACCCAATCTACTTGTCCTTGGAGATGAGAGCCAAGAGATGGTTCGAGATCGGTCGATGCAGTCTTGATGGTTTGAGGTCGGTCGTAGAACCATCACTACGGGAAATAACATTCTTATCATCACTGACGTGTGAGCAAGGCCCCTTATTGCAGCCTTTTCTTCTTTGACGCCACCTCCCTTGCTTCTTTTCCTACAGTCTTTTCAGGTCTAGAAAAGGAGATGAATTGAAGACTTTTATCGGAGCGATAAAAGGTCAAAAAGAAAAGTGAAAATTGTGGTGGAGGAGCAACCACGTTCCTAGCATAAAAGAAAGGGAAACATGCTCGACTGTTCATCTACTGTTACAGTCTGTAAATATGACATATTTTTTATATTAAAATAATATTTTTTATTTTTTTAAAATTATTTTTAACATATAAAAAATAATCTAAAATATACAAAAAATATTTTTTTAAAATTTTTTCTTGAAAACGCTCAAAACACCCACCAAACTTTTTTATTTTTAATAATATTTTCTTTAAAAAGTTAAGAAATTTAATACCATAGCAATGGCCTCTTGGACTCAAATTAAGACTTTAAAATGGATAACTGCTCTCGAACAAACTCCGACAAGACTACCAACATGCAAGTGCAATCCACATTTATTTTAATTGTGATATCTTGCACCTTGTACAAATAATAAGATATGCACCACCATTGGATGCTATCAACTCGCACACATATATGAGCATGTTAATGGGTATCTACTAATCAATTTTTTACTATATCTATACTATACTCTTAATTTATTAGTTTTCAGTATTCATTCAGTATCCATTATCCGTTATAAATATAAAAAATTATTAAAAATATTTTAAATTCCTGTAATCATGTTAGAACCAGCTACAAAATATTGGATCATTAATTAAAAGATGTTGAGATCCAACTAATAACTATATATTAATTAGTATTTGTGTTTAAAATATTTAAATGTTTTTTAGAAAAAAATAAAAAAAAATATTTATATAAAAAATTATTAAAATTTTTATTTAAAATATTTTAAGAATAATTTATATATTTTTTTATAAAAAAATAATTAACACGTCTGTTTAGAATACTTCAAAGTATATCTGTCAAAGCCGAGACTTGGATCTAACATGATTGCTATTGTTGTTATTGTTTTTATTAGTGTGATTATTGTTATTGTTGTTGTTGTTGTTATGAGTATTATTAGTATAATTATTATTATTATTAGCATGATTATTAGTGTTGTTGTTGTTGTCGTTTTCATTATTGTTATTGATATCACAATCATAATTAAAATTAACTATTACTATACTACTTCTAGAATTATTATTATTGAAATAAAATTAAGTTAGTTATATTTGTCAAATCTAAATTTGTTGGGTTTAGCATAACCCCCGACTCAAGTTTTTTGGATCTGGTATAGTTGCGGACTCAAAACTTTTAGATCTATCATGGCGGTTTGATTTAAATCTTTTAAAGATATCAACAACAACAACAACAATCATGTCATCTTTTAAAGATATCAACAACAACAACAACAATCATGTTAAATCTAAATAATAATAATAATAATAATTAAATATGATGGTTTTACCATATCTAAGAGTCATGGGTGTAAACTAGACTTGAGTCTATTGGATCTTATAGTTATACTAGATTTGACAAGAAAAAAAATTGTATATTTAGTTATAACAAAAAAAATACAAACAATTTAAAAAATATAATGAAAAAAAATAAAATTATTATTATAACCTATAATAAAATATCTTTTAATTTATAATATTTTTTTTCTAGTAGTTTATCTTTTGTTGTAACAACACAAGATATTCATCAAATTCAAGATAGATTATCATCCCTACCATGCACTAAGAGAACATAAGTGCTGGCACTTCCTCCATCTGGTCAGGTGGTGGACGTGGGAGCCATGATTAAGGACAATCGTACCTCGGAAAGTCGGAATTAGAGCTAAAAAGATCGTGATTTTCTTTGTCATCTTCACACTCGCAAGTTTGTCTCCGACTCTAAATTAAGCGCTGCATATGGGGCCTATCCGATTAAAGATAAACTGTGGAATGGAGTAGATATTTTCTGATTTTTTTCTTGAAACTTTCAGATCGCCTCTGCTTTTTCGGGTGGCCATTGTATTACTTATTAGTGACCGTTTCCATTTTTATAAACCTCGTTAGTTTTGGAAATGGGAGGACACAATGATTGATCCAATACAACTATCGGAATTACAGGCTATTGTTTCAGCATAACAATACATATATACATGGTTGCAAGAAAAAAAAAAGGAGAAACAAAAGGTTCAGAACTTATACAAACCATAAAATCCGTTGTTAAAAAGGAAATTCCAATGGGATGAAATATTCAGGTTCGGCGGTGTTTTCAGGATCAATATCTACTGTGGGAGATCCTCGGCATGAAAACCACTAGCAACATTACCATCCCATCACTCAATCATATGAAATGCATTCCAGAGTGATCTTCTCTGTAGTTTCGGTAGTGTTCTGTCCATTTGTTGTTTCGTTTCTCCCATCTTCTTTCTTCTTGCCCCACAATACGCCATAAAGCCCACCCACCAGCAAAACATCCCCACCAACACTGCCATAAAGATTAAAAATAGACCCTGTCAATTGTCATGGGCTAATCGATATGATCTGATCGTGATCCAATATAAGAAAAAAAATACTTTGGACTATATCTTTTACTAATTTGTTTGGAAAACAGATAGCCTACAGAAAAAGTAAAGGATTAGACCTTCCCCAGGTAAGGGTTTCTTTCCACAAGAATGCAGAGAAAATTGCTGTTATAATAAGAGCTAACGGAGTGAACATTGCTGTGAAAACTGGTCCTTTCTTCTCTATTGTCCATATTTGCAGCCAGTAAGTAATGCCAGTGACAACTATACCCTGCCATTTTCACTTCATAGTCAGGTAAAGAAAGGGCCAAATACATGTCTACCTGTAATTACATGCAGGCATGCGCGGAGTATATCATGTGTGTGTGTGTGTGAGTGATTGCATTTTTACACGCGCTCATGTCATCTTATGTGACATGACTGTGAGGAATATCTTCATAGCCACCAAATATCGCACCATGAAGGGTGACTGAACGAGACATTCTCAGGAAAGAGGAAACTGTAGAGACAGTTGAAGCAAAAGCTCTTCTGCTTTCCATTTTGGGTTAACGCAATTGCTTATTGATAATGCAATTGATTTGCCTGGTTTAGATTTTTATCTAATTGGAGCAAATATAATGTTGGAGGCGGTTAAAATCATGGCATACGGGGTATCTGCGTTCTGCAACAGGAGAAGAGGAAAAGTAAAACAAAAAATTACGAGGAGAAAACTATTGGGAAGATGTTTCGTAAGAACCCAAAAACTACTTTTGAAACATGTTGAAAGTCAGAGCCAAACACCACTGAATCAGAAACAAAACTGAAGAATTCTGGTATATTTGAAGTGTAGTCGACCGGTCAGAGTGGTGATCGTTGCAGACAGATTGAAAAACTACAATAAATAATGAGAACGTTTTCCTTGGTTTTAAGCAAACAAAACTTGAGAATTCTAGTATATTTGTTACATATTGAAACATACCATTTTATGCAATAGATATTTGGTAATGGAGGAGGTAATTGACAGAAATTGGAAACCAAGATTTTAAAGTTTTTGGCATCCTGCACCCTGTTTCTAAATCGAACAAAATATTGAATTTGTGTAACTCATTCGTGACCGAGTTTTCTGATTTCAACCACCTCTAAACTACACGCTTCCATGATCTGAACAAATCAAACCGCCAGACCTCTAATATGGCAAATGGTTCTGTGGAAAATAAGGAAGGAACTGAGGAACAAAATGGAATTTTCAGGGTTTGGGATTTGTTTAATTTTATGTTTTTTCCTTTCGATTTAATAATGAAATGATGATGTGCGTGTAAGTTTGATAATGGATTAGACATACACAGTAGGCCACCGAAAGAAGATTAAAATCCCAGCCAAGCTTCCAAGATGAAGGGTTCCTCTCTACCGCAATGGCCCAAAAAGCTGACTGTATGCAGCTAAACATGCATTGTAGAGTGGTAAGGCGTAGTTTTGCTGGATATTGCTTGATAATAGAACCCTAATGCCCATAACACCAAAAGTTACAACAGAGAAGTATATACATACCAGAAAAAAAAAAATACAAGAAGAAGAAGAAAACAGAGAAGAGACCAAAGCGAAATCATTACTAGAGAAGAAGTTGGATGAACAAGAATTAACCTGCAAGACAAGCCACAAAGACCAAAGCGTATTCGCTGAAATCATGAGAAGAGAACCCTTTATCCACTCCTCTCTAATTTGGCCATGATCATTGGCTGGGTGCCAATTCATGAACTTTATTGGAGGCCCTTTCACAAAAGCAATCACTAGCACCCCAGAAACACCTATAACAGAACCCAGCACCTTGGCAATTCCATGCACATGTTTTATGGAAATGCTTTCCATCCTGAAGTTTTGAACAAAACCACTCACATATATATTCATGTTAGGCTAAATTGATAAGGCTAATTAAGATGTAGAAGACAGCTTACTTTAACAAGGCAGCCATGGCAAATGTAATGGCAGGAATTGCATTGGTAGTTGCAGCAGCAAGTGTTGCAGTGGTGTAGTTGATAGCAATATAGTAGAGGTTTAAACTCAGAGTAACACTGAGAATTTTGAATACATGAGCTAGCGGTAATTAGATGCAGATTTTGTAATACAATAGGAGTGATAAATAAGATAATATTAACAGTTAGAATCCAAAATACGAAATCCATTACCCGCACAAGGAAACCAAAAAGATCTTGAAGAGCAAGCCGTACGACAAGGGTGCAGCCTCCTTCCTGCAGAATCAGCAGAAAGAAACAAATCAGATGAGAATTTTATATTTTATTATGAACTAATGGAGAGAGCAATTCAACATTAAAGTGCTCGGTGACCTTTCAAGAAAGAAAGCAAACGGAACCAACGATACTGAGGCGAAAGCTTGGCGATAAACTACAAACACAAAAGAA